AGTTCAGTAATCTGAAACATACAAGAGACCTGAAACACTTGTAGCAATGTGATCACAAACATTCACAAGAATTTTTTTCCTTTGGTACAAATCAGGTTCTGTGATCGATTAAGAAATAACAGTAGTGGGGTGCCTGGGTGGCTCAGATGGTTAAGCCTCTGCCTTCAGCTCAGGTCATGATTCCAGGGTCCTGGGATCGAGCCCCACATCTGGCTCCTGGCTCAGCGGGGAGCCTGCTTCTCCCTCTCCCTCTGCCTTTCCCCCTGCTCATGCTCTGTGTATATCTGTGTCTCAAATGAATAAAATCTTTAAAAAGAAAAAAAGAAGGAACAGTAGCCAGTGAGCTTTAACTGGCACATTTGACACACCCAAGGTTTAGTAGATGACTTAAGAATTTAACATGAAAGGGCGCCTGGGTGGCTCAGTCAGTTAAGCGACTGCCTTCGGCTCAGGTCATGATCCTGGAGTCCCAGGATCGAGTCCCGCATCGGGCTCCCTGCTCAGCAGGGAGTCTGCTTCTCCTTCTGACCTTCTTCCCTCTCATGCTCTCTCTCTCAATAAATAAATAAAAATCTTTATAAAAAAAATTTAAAAAAAAAGAATTTAACATGAAAAAGATTTGTAAAAGGGGGAAATAAATGGGCAAAGATGAAGTCCTTGGTGAGAGTCTACACTGCACATCGTATCTAAGGGCCTCTGTTGCTCACAGAGAATCTGCTGAATCCAGAGGCTTCCTAGGACAGCTGTTTTCCAGCTAGTGACTCAGAACCCAGGGCTGCCATCACCATGGCAGAGGAAAAGAGAGCTGGCTTATAAGTGCTGCTACAGGGCCTGTGCTTATAGGCCTTTGGTCTTTGGAATAGTGCAAAAATTACTGATATATTTTAAGTTTCCTCATACCAGGTCTTTGAAACCCAGTGTATAAATGTACAGTACAGCTCAGTTCGGACTGTCCACCTTTCAAGTGCTTAAATAGCTGCACGGGCCTCCCTGCCTTACCGCAGGTAGGGAATCATGAGACCATACAGACGTTAAGACAGACAAGCTGTGGGTTTCTGGAGGCATTCAAAGTCCAACACAAGCATTCTTTCCAATATGCTGGAAAAATGAGAGAAACAATCAGACTTGGTCACTTTACTGAATGTTTCTAACAGTTAGGTACTGGAGCCAGTCAGAGGGCATCCTCCTCACAGGCCCTGAAAGAGGGAGGATGAGTGCAATCTATTCTTCAGCCTCCACTTTGTTTCTAACTTTCCTTTTCAAGTACCACAGTCAGCAGATACATAGAAGTAGATGACTTTTATTCCTTTTTGGTCAAAGGAAAGGGATTACACAAACGTGTATGGAAAATGACAAACAGAGGCTCCTCTTCCCTAGTATGTTGACAATAAGTTGGACATAAGCTGTAGCTAATGGGGACAAATTTGCCCAGTTATCTATTGTCATCTTTTTTCCTGCAACTTATAGTTAACATATATAGAAAGTAATCTAGTTACCTACAATGTGGCCCTACTGTTCAATAAGCTTATGCCACATGTGTAGGCTACATTCAGCTATCTTCTTGGCTTTTTAATGGATATAATTCTGTTCCATAAGTTATGCTAGTTGTTTTCGTGTTTCTAAGATGTTTACACAAATGTGGAAAAAATCTAAATTATAGTCTAAAAATTAAATCTAGCCGCAGGTAGCTCAATAGCTCCATCTTCCTGCCAATATCTCCATACAACCCTCCCTTCAACTACATACAACCCTACCCCTTCCCTAATACAGTAACACGAAACACAAAATATGTTAAGTGTACATCATACATTTATTACCAACAACCCTCTCAACTCCAAAATTGGGCACAGGGATTAAAAATAAAAATTCATTGCACTACTTAGTAAAGCATTACTAGTAACTTTCATAAAAAATGTACAAACTTTGTTAAAAATTTATCAAGCCTTCAAATGATTTGGTTACAGATATTTATAATACGTACATTTAAACTATATGTTAACTGATACAATGGAATATGATTTGAGGAAATGACTCAGCAAATGATTCCAAAAAACACCCCTGTAAGCTTTCTTAATCTGAAACAAACAGCAAAATGAGGTAACCAAATGTACCAACAGGGGGGGAAATAGCTTTCTAATGAAGGCCTAAAGATATCTGTGAAAAATATTCTCTTTGAATTGGTAGATCTCATTCAAAATACTGTAAGAGGCCCAGATTTAAGAATCTTAATAAATCACATTTCAGAGAGTATATAAAATCTAAATATGCTTTCACATTTTCCAGATTTTGCTCAAAAAAATTCAGGACAGAAAATCCTGTATGAGATCTTGATACCTGGAGGCCTTGTTTTTTTTGTTCGGGGGGGGGGGCACGCTAAAAAAATTCAAAGATGATAATTCATGCAAAAACAACATAAAATGAAACCCCACAGCAGAGTTAAGATGGTAAAGCCAATATTGTTTTAGGAGAAAAGAGGAAGAAGGCAACAAACCAACATCTGCCTGCTATCTGGTGCATCGCTCAAGGTGACAACAGCTGGGCATGAATCAACTGTCCTTTCTTTTGCTAGCCATGAAGTTGCTCACTGTGGCTAGTCTGAGCTGGTTCAGAACACATGCAATGTATGGTCCTAATACACACTAACCACTTAATAAGCAAATCTGTACACATCTCTAAGGGCCCCATGCAAAGAAAGACATTCCCAAAGAGAGATCAGTCACAAGAGTGCAACATTACTTCAGGATTTTACCAAAATAGACCCTGCTGCCTCCTAAATTGCCAACTGCCTCTCAAAAATTTGCTGGAAAAGGGATATTATGACAAGAATTCATCGTAAGAGGGAGGGAAGAAAGAGCTATTTTTCCTAGTCATTAGTACAATGTGCCTTGTTAATTAGGTATCTATATAAATTAGAAAAAGTGCTTTACTTGCATGCTTCAATAAAATGAATACTGAGTGTAGTAGTGTTATGTTAGATCTGTACAGATATAAATTTTTTGCAGCTATATAAAAGAGTCTATGCATAAGATGGGCTTTTGCCATTTTAAACATGATTTTTTATAATTAAAAAAAATAAAGATCAAACTATACGTGATTCATAATGTAGCTGATTATTACGCCAATAATTTTGGTCTTCAACACACTTTTTATTCATCAGAAACCGGGGGGGGCGGGGGGGGGGCGGAACGTCCTAATGACTGAAAAGTAACATGTGCACCTTAGCACTGTTGAGATGTATTTCTGATGCACTGACAAATACAGGGGCGAACAGAAAGTGTGCAAAATCCTATTTGTCTGACTAGATAGAGGCAACAGTGTCCAGAAAAGGGCAAAATTGTGCTTCTATGAGAACTGACTTTACTGAACTCTAAGCTGGGATGAGCTTATAGAGACTTCAAGGGAAGGCAAGTAGCATGGCAGTAACGAGTAGTTAACACTGAGTAGAAAACTGACACAGAGCCAACTGAAAGCTGAGTGAGGCTGGCAGCAAGTCATCACAGTCCTGACTGGGATTATGCAGCTTGTGCTACTGCAAACAAAGCAATGACCTTAACTGCAGGAAAAGACAATGTTGAAGACAATAAAAGAACGAGGGAGGAATCAAAACATTGCTGGAAAAATGACTTTAAACAATCTAAATGATGCTCAATGGACCTATAAAAAAACCCCACACAGCTATGTATTATTTCAGATCAACTAAATGAAGGTCAATTCCTGTTTTACATTATTTTTTATACAAAAATCAAATCTTCATTTATACTGCAAGTATTCTGGACCTGTTATATTAAATTTTTCTCAAACAAAAATTTTTTTAAAAAGCAATAAAACATCAAAGCACATCAGGTCTAAGAATTCGAGCTGTCACAGCACTTGATCCATCCTGGAAATGAGGGTTTCCATGAGAAGCACATTTACTGAGGGAAGAACTAGACAACTATCAGAATTGAAGGTTGGCAGGTAAATCGATACAAACAGAAATATAGCTTCTTAAAACAATTTAGTTGCCTATGAGAGTTTAACAAAGAACATATCAGAAGTCAATCTGAATTAGCTAACAGATTTTGTTCTGGTGGAAGTAAAGGAGGTGAGACTTCATGGGACCAGCGATATTCTTAGAAATATATTACTCAAATATCTTCAGAATAGACTACAAACCTAAACATTAAAAAAAAAAAAATCACAGGTACTTCCTCTAAGAAGCTTACTGGAAATGTAAAGGAAAAAACAAAGTATCAACATTCAAATCACTGACTGAAATGCTAATATTGCTAACTGATGATGTATGATATTGCACCTTCTTTTTGGAAACAGCAAGTTGGAGATTAAAAAAAAAAATTTTTTTTTTTTTCACAACAGAATCAAAACATCCGGTTCATGGAGTGAGAAATCTGTTACACTTTTTTTCTTAAGTGACCCACTTGGGACCACCAACGAAGAGAAGGTGACAGCTGCCTGAAGCAAAGGAAGAAGGCTTTTCTCATTCCATTCACTGGGAGGGAAGGGATGGAGTATTCAATGCTTATCATTGATGCACCCTTAGCAATCAGTGTGCAACAGCAAACACAAGGGAAAAAACCAGTGTACAGTACTAGTGCTGTTTAAATAACACACCAGATTATACATTGCAGCATAATTAAAACTACACACACATTCTTGGTACATGCTGGTATATAGGATCTCATACACACATTAGCTACCATGCCCTCACACAAGTAGTTGCGCACACTCTCTCCCACACACAGATACATTTATCACCAACAGTCATACGCTGCATTCATTTCCACTCACAGTTTCTGAAGGCTCTATATAAGGTAGATTGCTATATCATCTGGAGCTACCACTTTTTATAAAAGCACATGCTAAAAGATCACGTCCACTGTAATCTTGCAGCAACACTCGGAATGATCACACAAAAACCAGGGAATGTTAGTGCACACACAAAATTAAGCTAAAGAAAAAGTCTTTGGAGTTCCAATCACACGGTTAGTATAACAATCCCATAATTGTGAAGACTAATTGTAAGCTTTTATAGTTGATTAAGTCACACAGTGCAAAGAAAGGTCCATTGACCCTTTTGGTAAAGGGAGGGCTGGAAGCCACACAGATTAAGTTCAATGGATAGTTCGTATATACATGTGATGAGGAACACCCAAACTAAATTTGTGCTCTTAGGTTGGTCATTCTGAATCCCGATGCACTTCTGAAGCATCAGCTCGGCAGATTGGGCAAGTACGATTTGCCTAAAACACAAAAGAGAAAACTTGTCTGAACTGTGATTCACACAATGTAACATGTGAAAAGCAATGAGCTATTTTTACTTCCCATATAGTTTTTACACTCTTTATTCCTTTAAAGAAGTACAAAGCAATCATTTAATCTCTCCTTTTAAAAAATACACCACAAACTCAAAGGACTTAGCAGCCGATGAATGATTTTTTTTATAGGTCTGTTTCAACATATAGACAAGATTACCTATCACCAGTTCAGACAGATTTAATAACTAGCTTAAAATGACCTCTCAACAAATGGCACCACCATTTTCTGAGTTGCCAAAGCCACAAAACTAAATATCACCTGCTCTCTTACTTTCTAAAGCACATTATTCATCAAATACTCCCATCCGTACATTATAAGAGCTCTCAAATCAGTCCTCTTCTTTTCATCCGGTTGCCAGTATTCTTTCTCTGTCTAGCCCAGAACATCACCCTTCCACCTCAGAAATCTCTCTCCTTTTCCATTCTCCAAACGGTGGTCAGTCATCTTGATAAAACACAATCTCAGTCATAGCCTTCCACATCATGTCCAGGATCGAGTCCACACTCCCTCACACACATTGTGACTTCACAGTAAGCCGGCCACTGGCCGTATCTTTGAACATCTCTTCTCCTGCCCCTCTTGCTAATCAGCCATATGCAATCTGCTGTTTTCTGATCAGTGTCTGTTCCTACACCGCAGGGCTGTGCATATATAATACTTTCTTCTAAAAAGTTAAGACTCTCTGCCCTCAGGATTTGGCTTGAGCTAAACTGGGCACCCTTACTCTGTGCTCACACAGAGGACTGATTCTATTTTAACTCATCTTTCTTCCTCACCAAATTGTGGCCTTCTAACCCAATGGTACTATTTCCTAATCAGAATACTCTTAAAAAATAATAAAGTTGACTTTTTTTAAATTATTTTACCGCATATTTTTATTCTACTATTATAAAATACAGAATTTGTGTCCTTTGGGTTTTTCATATCTACAAAAGAGAAAATGATCAGAATTAAATAAAAGCACTAGTGGTTCATTTCCCATGTAAATCTCTGACAAAGAAGGTCCAGTGGGGTCCCCTTCTAAACTCTCACAGGAAACTGGCCCAGCAATTTCAGGCCTCATCCCTATACACCACTGGAAAGGATATACTGATGATCAAGGACAGATAACCCATTTTCAAGTTTTGCACAATCACTCCGACATTGATGACTCTAGTTAATTTTTACTGGCCTTTTCTCATTTGCAGAAATCACTGAATATTTTGTCTCCTTACTCATCCTCCACCAAACATTGGACTTATTTTACATAAAACTATGGTCAATCACAAAGAAAATTCAGTGTTACTCTCTTCACAGATGCCATCACTTTACCTTAAGCCATTTGTCGACACACTTGGCATGGAACTCGTGGTTACAGGGTAAAACTCTAAGTAGCTGCCTTGACTCAAAATCACACATGCATACTACACACCTAAAAAAAAGCAAAAAAGATCATTTAACCATAAATCCAAGTGGTTGTCTGCTTTATGACTAATGAAGCCTAGATAAAACCATTTACCATCTCACTTTTCAAACTGTCATTTAAAGTTTAAGACAAAATAATCTATCAATATCCTGAAAAAAATCATGATATTAAGACATTTAGAGTGCTTTGCTTTACTGAGAGATCATCAAGAACACTGGTTAGGGTCGCCTGGGCTCAGTCGTTAAGCATCTGCCTTCGGCTCAGGTCATGATCCCGGGGTCCTGGGATCGAACCCCACATCGGGTTGCCTGCTCGGCGGGAAGCCTGCTTCTCCCTCTCCCACTCCGCCTGCTTGTGTTCCCTGTCTCATAAATAAATAAAATCTTTAAAAAAAAAAAAAAAAAACACTGGTTAAACATCCAAGCTGTCCTAATACTGAAGACACTATTAATATTCGACAAAATCGTGTTGAAACAATCAGACCCCTATATACAAACGAATGAAGTTGGACCCCTACCTCACATGATACATGAAAATTAACTGGAAAGTGGAACAATGGCCTAAATTAAGAGTTAAAAACTATTAAACTCCTAGAAGAAAACATAGGGGTAAATCTTCATGACCTTGGAATAAGCAATGGTTTAGCAGAAATGACACCAAAGCACAAAAAACAAAAAAAGTAGATAAACTGAACATAAAAAAAAAAATTGTGCTTCAAAAGACACCAGCAAGAAAGTGCAAAGACAACTTACAAAATGGGGGGTGTTTTTGAAAATCGTATCTCACAAGGGAACAACTTGTATGTGTAACATATAAATAACCTCTACCACTCAATAATAAAAAGACAACCCAATTTAAAAATTGACAAAGGATGTTAACAGACATTTCTCCAAAGAAGATACATAGGTGGCCAATAAGTACAGTAAAATAGCTCAACATCATTAGCCATCTGGGAAATGGAGATAAAACCTTAATAATACCTCACTCCCACTAGGACAGCTAGAATCAAAAGAAATAATAATAAGCACTGGAGAGGATGTGGAGAAACTTTACATATTGCTGGTGGGAATGTAAAATGGTATATCCACTTTGGAAAAACCTGGAAGTTCTCAAAAGGTTAAACAAAGTTGGGGCGCCTGGCTGGCTCAGTCAGAAGAACATGTAACTCTTGACCTAGGGTTGTAAGTTCGAGCACCCATGCTGGATGTAGAGACTATTTAAATAATGAATAAATAAAAACTTAAAAAAAAAAAAAAAAGTTAAACAAAGCTACCATATGATCTATTAGACACCCAAGAGAAATGAAAACATATATCCACAGAAAAATTCTGTACACAAATGTTCATGGCATTATTATTACTACTAGTCAAAACATGGAAACAACCTAAATGTCCATCAACTGAGGAAAGGATAAGCAATATTTGGTGTATCCATACAACGGAATATTATTTGGCCATAAAAAGGAAGAAGTACTGATAGAAGCAACATCATGGACCTTGAACACATTATGCTAAGTTAAAGAAGCCATACATAAAAGAGCATATATTGTATGATCTCATTAATGTGAAATGTATAGGACAGGCAAATCTACAGAGATAAAAAAGTAAATTAGTGGGAGGCTATACTGGAATAGACAGGGTTGGGGAAAAACCGGAAGCGGCTGCTAGTGGGCAGGTGTTTCTTTTTGGGGTGAAGAAATAGTGTACATTTGAATTTGAAGATGGTTGCAAAACTCTCTGAATATACTAAAAACCACTGAATTGTACACTTTACATGTGATTTAGGTCTCAGTAAAGTTGTTACTGTAGATACTATAATAAGCAGAATATTTAGGTAAAAATCTCAACCTGTACATGTACGAGACTCTTCAATCTTACATAAAATATTCTAAAGTTTGAAATGAAACCATAAAATTTCTGGGCAACCTAAAAGTCCAGAACAGAACTGTCGAACAGAACTTTGAGACAGAAATATTCTACATCTTCTAACACAGCATCATTTGTGAGCGTAATAAAGAAACTTAACTTTTTATTTCATTCAAACAGCCCCACATGACTAGTGGCTATCTTACCAAACAGCACAGGCCTGCAGTATACAATAGAGACTACTTATCTTTATCAAGTTACCCTTGACTCTCAAGCTTTTATTTTATAAAGGTAGAAAAGGAAATTTCAGAGTGATGTAGGAAAGATGTACTTACAAAGTCTGTTCTGACTGGTGGTTGTTAGGATTGAACCGATAAGAAGGAAGCTGTTCGATATCTGCTTTAGTCAGTCCTCGAGGCTTAGCCTCTCCCAGTCGCTCTGCCAGGTTTAACAGGGCCTAGAGAGGGGAAAAGGAGACAGTTTTCATCTCTAAATTTTTTTTTAAAGATTTTATTTATTTGACAGAGAGAGATAGAGAGAGAGAGAGAACACAAGCAGGAGTGTAAGAGGGGAGAAACAGGCTTCCCGCTGAGCAGGGAGACCGATGTGGGGCTCGATCCCAGGACCCTGGGACCATGACCTGAGCCGAAGGCAGACGCTTAACAACTGAGCCACCCAGGTGCCCCTAAATTTTTTTTTTTTTTAAGGATTTTATTCATTTGCGAGAAAGAGACAGAGCGCACAGGCAGGGGGAGAAACAGGCCCCTCACTGAGCAAGGAGCTCGATGCAGGACTCGATCCCAGGACTCTGGGATCATGACCTGAGCCGAAGGCAGATGCTCAACCGACTGAGCCACCCAGGTGTCCCTCTCTTGAAATTCTCGATTTCAATAATCAAAAAACCCCTAAAAGCAAACAAACAAAAGAAAAACTCAACCTACCTTTATTATGGAAAATTTTAAATATATACAATACTAGAAAAACAGTATAATGAATTTCCCCATGCCTATAACCCAGGCTCAACAATTCATGACTAATTTCATGAAGTACTGTCCACTCCTAAACCCCCAGATTATTTTGGGTTTAGCTTTGAAACAAAGCTAAAACATTTTATTTAATTGGTAAAATAGTTCTGTGTATATCTTTAAAACAACCTGTCTACCTCAGCATGTCTGACATTTGGGGCTGGACAAAATTTTACTGTGGGAGGGCTGTACTTGTACATTGTAGGATGTTTAGCAGCATCCCTGGCCTCTAGCTGCTGGATGCCACTAACCCCCTACCCCCAGCCAACACTGTCTCTAGATGTTGCTAAATAGCCTCTGGGAAATAAAACCGTCCCCAAGTTGAGGACCACCCTTCTAAAAAATAAAAGACGTTTTAAAAGAATATAACCACAATAACAACATCTCACCTAAAAAAAATTAACAATTCCTTAAATGTCAAATGCCTCTGATTGTTTCAATTATTTTCAAAAACTTTTTTTTTTTTAAGATTTATTTTTTTGTCAGAGAGAGAGAAAAACAGAGAGCGCACAAGTAGGGGAAGTACAGAGGGAGAGGGAGAAGCAGGCTCCCCACTGAGCAAGGAGCCCCATGCAGGACTTGATCCCAGGACCCTGGGATTATGACCTGAGCCAAAGGCAGATGTTTAACCAACTGAGCCACCCAGGCATCCCTCAAAGGAGTTAATTATTTGGGTCTGGACTGAGAAGACTAGGCTGGAGTTTATCATTGATAAAAGTCTAGGTTGGAGGGACGGCTGGGTGGCTGTCGGTTAAGCATCTGCCTTTGGCTGAGGTCATGATCTGGGGGTCCTGGGATCGAGTCCCGCATGGCGCTCCTTGCTCAGTAGGGAGCCTGCTTCTCCCTCTGCCTGCCTCTCTCTCTGACAAATAAATAAAAATATTAAAAAAAAAATAGTTTGTTCAAATCAGGATCCAAATAAATCCCTATCTTACCAATGCTTGGTATATCTCTAATATCTTTTTTTACTCTTATATCTGTTGAACAAAGCAGGTCAATGGCTTGCTTGTATAAATTCCCACAGTCTGAATTTTGCTGACCGAACCTACCTACCGTGAGACATCTGTTTTCTTGTCCCTTATACTTCCTATAAATTGGTAGCTTTGACTATTTCCATAAGGCTCATCATGCCTACCTATTACGTTAGCAGCCACTAATGGAACACTGCTTAGGTCCATTAGTCCATTAAAGATGGCAAAATGGTAATATTCTATCACCTTCTTAATTTATTAGATGAAATATTACTATACTGAGCCACTGTCCCATATCAAACTGTACTCAGTAGCATAATTTAAATAGAAAATGCAGGAAAAGATCAGTGAGTTACTTTATTTTTTGAAGTTATCACTAAGAAATCATGGATTTTAAGACAGTTATGCTTCCATTATGCTATTATTACGCTTATTGATTTTATGCCAGTACCTCCTTTCTCCCAGTTTTCAATGGCTCTAAATACTCATTTGCTTTATCCTATAATCTGACAGCCCTTCATATGCTGCTTTCCCCTATATTTTTTAGGCAGCCGCGGGGTTAAGAGAATGGCTAATAATGAAATGATGATGGACAATGAGAGAAACAGAATCAATTTCCCCAAACCTCAATAATTAATGATATGATAGTTGTGTCTTAATATGATGACCCCCCACAATGTTGTTTTTGGTACAGCTTATCTGGAGAATTGGGTCATCTAAATAAATTGCTCCCCCTTTACCACGCACACTTCTAAAGTCCCTCTAAAATGGTAAATAGTAACTTGTTAAATTTAATTGATGCCGATTACAATTAGCAGATAAAATTTAGGATATAGCTGATGTAAATCTTTTATACCTCTATTATATATACTATAGGACACTGTGGTCATTAAAAACAAGTTATAACAATTATATTCAATAAAGTATGTTCATTAAGTCCTTACTGGATGGAGGCTATGATGATAATCAAGCCTTCAATGAATTTATATGATCTAGCAACAAGACAAACTAAAGTCAGGACATGATTAATACGCATAGTTATATAAGAACTACACAAAAAGGAGGGAGGGAATCGTTGAGATCTGGGAATGGACCAGAAACGCCTTTCACGGAGGTAGTATTTTTAGCTAGGTCTTAAAAGATGGTTGTATTTCCAAATGTAGAGGAGGGGGAAAGTACTTAGGCAGAAAGACAAGGGTAATAAAGGCACTTGGGAAAGAATGCAGAGGATAAAAAAAAGAAAAAAAAAAAGAATGCAGAGGATAGATTCAAAACCAGAAAAGCAAGAGTCTTGACTGGATTAAAGTATGGCTGCAAAAGATCAAACATATTTAACCCAAAGTACAGTTTAGAAAGGTATTCCAATGCCAAATAAAAAATACTTTTCTTTTTCCTTTTTTTAAAGATTTTATTATTTGTGTGAGAGAGAAAGAGAAAGAGTACGCAGGGGTAATGGCAGGCAGAGAGAGAAGCAGGCCCACCACTGAGCAAGGAGCCTGATGTGGGACTCCATCCCAGACCTGAGCCGAAGGTAGCCACTTAACCGACTGAGCCACCCAGGCGTCCCAAAATATTTTCTTATGTTGGGATGGTATCACTGTTTTTTCCATTGATGGGTAAATAATCTATTTAAGAAGAGCTGTCCTCTTCAGCAACATTACTTATGACTTAATTTTAGTACAGAATACCTAAAGAATAACCAACTCCTTTGCATGAAATTAAAGTCATCACTGTAGAAACAAAACCAGGAAATTATTACAGCCCCTTTCTCGCTCTAGAAATCTGGAACTGGAATCCAAAGGGCACTGTGGTGTGATTATATAGTTAGAGGGAAAATGACGTAATAGCATTTTGAAAACTATAGAATATAGTATTTGGCCTGATCTCCTCCACATGTGTTAAAAAAAAAAAAAAAAACTAAAGGTGCTTTAAGATTATGTGTGTAAGTTTGTCTCTTCTCTGTCCCTAGGTTCTATTCACACTGTATAGAGACTGAGTAAGCCTGGGGTGAGAAAGGTAACTAGCAGTATAAAAAAAAGTCACAAAAACAAGTTACATCGTCACTCACGGTCAACAATACAAAGTTACCTTCCAACCCCTAAACTGCACCTCCCATTCCTAACCTCAAATAATATATAATTATATAAATATATAAAATATAAGCTACTTAACTTGCTGTCTTCTTTCATTCTGCCTTCTTCATGAATTATTGCAATCTTTTTTGCAGAGCATCTTCTTTTGCAAGCCCCCTATGCACACTCAACACTACCAAAAACCATTCAGCAATGAATTCCTGCTGATTCTAGTATTAAGTCTCTCAAATTAAACCATATTTAAGAATTTTAAGAATAAAAAAGAAAAAAGTCTCTCAAGATCTACTCTTTCATATTTGCAGTTCCCATAGTTCAGAATCGCATGGTTCTATAATTTGCTCAACCTATTAAATAAGTTTTCCTTCCACTAACATCTAACCATTCCCATCTATTCCTTCATGCTACTAAGAGTTTTGTAGAGTCTGATGCCTTGAGAACCAAAACATTTAGCAGCTCTTTCCTCCCAAAATAGTCAAAATTATGTCTCTAGCAGGGCACACATACTCAACAACAGCCAGTTGAGATTTTCAATCAAATCTCTATTTTCTCCCTTCCACTTAAGCCACCAACTGTATATCATGCCTCAAGAATATCCAGCCTTCCCTACCTCAATCTCATGCATGAAGCAGCTTTTCCATCCTTTAGGAACCAGCTCAAACACAATCTTTTCAGAACACCCAATCAAAATTCACTATTTTCTCATTACATTCTCTCACAGGAACTGTATGTAATTCTAATACAGCACCAAGCTTATCTTGTTATCATAGCTGTATGGTACACGCAGAAATATCCTAAGGATGCTGACCACTTTTTTGATATATTCGTATTGTGAAACATACAAAGGATTTATCAAATGCATGTTTAATTAGGTGAATGAGTGAATGAGTAGAACAATATTTCTTACGCATACAACACTACCCAAACAAACTCACAGTTCACCGACTAACCTCATAATTTTCTACTTCTCCATCTTCCACGTCCAATTCAAAGCTGAAAGTTGGGCCCACTGCAGGTGGCACTGGGAGCATTGATCTGCAGTGAAAACAACCAACACTAGCATTGATACACCGGCACATTACTTCAAAGAACAGGATGGGAAGAATAAGGTTAATGCTAAAAGAAGAGAGAATGGTTAGTGTTAATCAGTGGCAACCCTTTAAAGAAAAGGACTTTACTAGCGATAAAAACTGGTATTAAAAAAATACAATTCACAATAGCATAAAAAACATGAAACATTAGGGATCAATTTAACAAAACACATGCAAGACCTATATAATTAAAAACTAAAAATACTACCAGGAAAATTTTTTTAAAAATTAACAAAGAGAGAAATATACTGTTAAGCAGACTAGAAGATACCAATTCTCTTCCAAAACTGATCTATAAATTTCATGCAACCCCTACTAAAATCCCAGCAAACTATATTTTAATAGAAACCAATCTGCTGATTTTAAACTTTACATGGATCATGTAAGACTTTAAACCTTAAGAACCAAGTTCTGATACCATCTGATTTTAAGACTTATAATACAGCTAAAATTATCAAAATAGTGTGGTATAGGAACATGGCCCTCTGTATAAAAACATTTCCTAGTCTTCTTAGAAGGAATTACAGATTTGAGACTGAATTCTGGCCAGTAGGAAGTAGGCAGGAGTAATACATGCAACTTCTATGAAAGTATCCTTGAGAGGAGGCAGGTAGGCGGAGAGATCCATTTTCATTTTTGCTAGTTGGAGTGTAGATATAATGGCTAGAACCCGAGGAGCCATCTTCAATCATGTAGAGAAAGCCATAAAATTTTGAACATGGTAGAACCATTCCTTAGTTATGGGGCTAACAATCCCTGAACTGCCTACTTCTGAACTCATTACATGAGAGAAATTCAAAACTATCATGTGTAACCCTTGGGCATTTGTTACAAACTTAATCCTAACAGTATTTCTAAGGCACAGAAATGACTTCTCTGTCCCTCTTTCCTTGGGAAAGCAGCAACATCAAAAGCTGGATATTCGGGGCACCTGGGTGGCTCAGGTCATGATCCCAGGGTTCTGGGATCAAGCCCCACGTCGGGCTCCCTGCTCGGCGGGGGGGAGTCTGCTTCTCCCTTGCTCTTTGCCCCTCCCCGCTGCGTGCATGTGCACACTCTCTCGCTCTCTCTCAAATAATAAAATCTTAAAAAAAAAAAAAAAAAAGCTGGATATTCAAAGGTGGCTAGTGATCACAGCTGTAAGAGAGGCAAAAATGGTAAACTTTTCTACCTTTTGATTTATTTTTTAACCTTTTGACCTATTTTCTGGCTCACAAATTTCTTCCTCTCCCACTTCTCCCTTGTTCTTGGCTCTTCTATTTCACCCTTACATGGTTCCCCAGCCCCACCCCTTAACATTAAATAAAAACAAATCTCTAACACACCCTAAATCATATATCACATAGAAGATATTCATAAAAGAAAGAGAATGTCAAGGGTATCAAAATTCAGAATTCACTAAAATGAGAAAAACAGAACTTACAATACATATGGTAGTAAGCTGGGATGATAAGGGGGAGGTGGTATTGGCTGCTGGGATCGATATCTACTACGTCCTGTGAGCCTCCGAGGCATAAATGGAGGATAAGGCTGTAGGAGAAAAATGTTAAAACCATTTAAGATCATTCTACATTTGTAACTATTTATTCTGTCGAATGGTCTCTCCTCCTAAAAATCCTAAAAATTCCTTACTATTTAAGTAACATTTGGTATTTATTAAATGTTAGCATAAATACAATAACTGGTTTAAAACGTACACTTAGGTGTATTTTTTAGTGGTTGGGGCACCTGAGTGGCTCAGTCACTTTGGCGTCTGACTCTTGATCTCGGCTGGGGTCATGATTTCAGGGTGGTGGGATCAAGTCCCACATCAGGCTCCGAGCTTAGCGTGGAGTCTACTTGTCCCTCTCCCTCTGCTCGTCCCCCCCGCCCCCCGGCTTTCTCTCTCTAGAAATAAATAAAATCTTTAAAAAAAGAAAATACACTTAGGTGTATTTTTATTTATTTATGTGACAGAGAGAGACACAGCGAGAGAGGGAACACAAGCAGGGGGAGTGGGAGAGGAAGAAGCAGGCTTCCCGCCAAGCAGGGAGCCCGATGTGGGGCTTGATCCCAGGGCTCTGGGACCATGACCTGAGCCGAAGGCAGACACTTAACGACTGAGCCACCCAGGCGCCCTTAGGTGTATTTTTAAATACAGTTTTCCAACCAAATGCTTTCAAGAATACATTTAAAATTCCAAATATGTAGAGTTATATAGAAACAACTCAAAACAACTAAATTATCAGAGCAAGTAATAGATTAATAACCATGAATGAAAACTTACTACTCCGAAGGACATCTCCTGATGCAAAGGATCATGGGTTAAGAACTGCAAAGGAGCTGATGGAGGTAATGTTGGGGGATGGGCTGATGGAGGGTAAGTAAAACCTCCTACTGGAAGATGTTCTCCTAAGAGTTCCACTTCATTTTCTATCCTTTGCAGAGGCTGAGGGAGGAAAAAAGCAAACTAATATATTAATATACTACCAGTACAGATTATGTTTTATAATAAAAATTAACCCCCCTCAAAAACACCTTTAAGGTCATGTATTTCTTGATGTTTACACCAATCTAAATTTATACATGTAGACATACAGACTATAGTAAAATCTTCCTATCTTTAATGGGATTTCAGTAATAAAATCTCTGAAACAGGTCATTAAAACATTTCCACTATCCATTCAAAGATACATTTTACTATTTGAAATTTCTCTTAAAAAGGAGATGGAAAGTATATGAAAGTTAAAATTCCTTTTTAGTCATGAAACACTGACCTACTCACAAAATTTTCAGACACTTAATTTTTAGTATATGAAATTGAGCAGGTGTATATTTATAAATCAGAACCAGGGCTAAATGGGATAAGACAGAGCAGGCATGATGCTATATTAGAAAGCTTATGGGCTTCGGCATTAGATAGATTTGCTGTTGTCACTAATCAGCCATGTGACTTTTATATAAATAACTTAATATGAACCTCAATATTATCTAGAGGACTCACAGGTTCATTGCCTACTTCAAAAGCATGCTATGAACACTGAGACAATGTACAAAAGCAAAGCACATAGCATGTTTCTTCTTGACAACAGTTCTGAGATACAATTCACATACTATAAAAAAATCACCCTGCAAAGGGGTACAATTCAGCAGATTTTAGTAGATTCACAGGAGCTGTGTGAACATCATCACTATTTAATTCCAGAGCACTTTTGTCCCCCCACCTCCAACCCATGCCCATTAGCAGCCCACTACCCCATTTTTCCAGTCCTGCCCAAGCCCTGGACAATCGCCAATCTACCTTCCATTTCTACAAATTTGACTATTTAGGACATTTCATAAGTATGTGTCATTTGTATCTGGCTTCCGTCACTTAGCATAATGTTTTCAAAGCTCATCCATCTTGCAGTTTGTGTATCAGTACTTCATTCCTTTTTATAGTTGAAAAATGATTCACTGCATCAGTTATGGACGTTTGAACTCTTTCTGCTTTTTGCTGTTAGGAATAATGCTGCTATGAACATTTATGTACATATTTTTGTGTATCTGTTGCTCTTAGGAACATGTATTCTTCACCAAAGTTAGTCTGACTTCCTCCTGAAGTTAGTATCAACACACTACTCACTATTCAAACAAAATTTCACTTTAGTTTGGGAGCTTATATATGCTTGAGAGAAATCCCAATTGCTGACACTATGACAACACAAGTGAACCTAAGTTCTGATTTGGCTATGTGACTGGACCTTTTCGAGGATTCCAAACTCAAACATAAGTGATAGCAAAATTTTATTTTTAACCTTGAATTCTCAGGTATTGAAAGCTAAGGAACATCCTGGCATCAATCCTGCCCTGATTCTAATAGAAGATTTTCTTGTAGAAGTAGTTATAACTTTTTGGATTAGTAAAATGTCTGTCCTAATTGGCTTCTATAGTTGTCAGAAGAGTATCCATGTTAAGTTCATCTCTACCTGAAATCCAGCATGCTGCATAAATCCTTGGTAAAGGATGGTTAGGTTCTGCTAGAATACATGATCAAGTTCCTTTCACAGGACAGAAATCTTCTCCCTTAACCATTCCATATGTTCTCTTTCCTGTTCTTCCTGAATGACAGTTCAGCTGTTTAACTTGGCCTGTCCAAAAAACATCTGGGCCTCCTTCCTGTGCCCTCAGTGCTTATACCTCCTCTAACCCCAATATGCCTCTCAGCTAAATTCCAGTCCCAAGACAGAATTAACTATGTTAATAGATGATCTCATCTTTTCATCAGAATATAGCAGAAAAACAGGACTTCAAAAAAAACCCAGAAAACAAAGAAAAAAAAAACTGAGGCTCAGAAATTTACTTTACTTGCCTAAATGAATGTAATTATTATAGCAAGTATAAACAATTTTACAATACTTTCATTTTCCACGATTTCAGAAATACATAAAAGGAAAAAACAGAACTGAATTTTTCTTCAGACTTACTTCCTGAAGGACTGCAGATATGAAGGAACAAATTTAAATTATACAAAAGAACTAGAAAAATTTAAGCAACCAAGATAATTTTAGGTAAAGATGTTTATATTAATTTGTATGTCTGTGAATTCCCTAATTCTTTTAAGAACCAGAAGAATGCCTAAATTATAGTTTTTAAATGGTAACAAATTACATCTACTAAATTAATCTGTCTCTTAGGTCTACACATTCTCTGAAAATTAAAGACATAAGAGTAGATACCTACCGATCGTGATTGCTGTGTTTGGAAAGGGACAAACTGGCCTGGTGGTGGCAAATGAGGAGGATGATGGGGAGAAAGGTGAGGAGGATGTAAAAGAAATGGGTCACTAGAAATAAGGGGTGGGAACGCAGCATATGGTACTGGTAAGTGCTGAACTGAACATGCTTGAAGCATCTGTAAAAGAAATCGTTATTTGTTGTTTAATGTTTCAATATATAACTAGTAATAATAATTTTAAAAAAATCTATCACTGAGATTGAAATGTCATTGCCAGATCCCACTCAAAATCATACCAAAGTGTCTTAATGACCTACATTAACAATGAAATAGTAGTGTATTTTTGCATCTATCAGTAAAATACTGGTAACTAGTAATTATTCTGTATTTTATATAGTTCTGACAAATCAGTCAAAACACCTAACTTCCTCTTTAGCTTTGTGGCACCTATGAAATGGGGTGAAAAGTGCTGCACAGAAGAGAGCTCCTTCTACTTGACTGAAGAAGCGGATATTACTGCTTTCCCTTTCAAGAACCTCTCCTTTTCAATCTTACAAAAATTTTATAGAATTCTGATATTTATTAAGAGCCCAACTCACTAAGTGCCTTTTATGTTTTGTCTCTCAATATTTTAGTCTGCTAATTCAGCACACTGATTCCATAATCCATTATTGAGAAACCAAGGTTGGGATAAGTGAATACATTAAACTAGTGTTGGTATTTGTGTGTTCCTTTTAATCTCACATTCAAATAAGGTATTAGGATTATATTTAGTTTTAGCAAAGTGCTTTACTTTGAAGACCTTAGACAAGTTATTTAAATTCTCTGGATTTCAGCGACCTCATTTGTGAAATAAGGAGGTTGGACTGGGGGTTGGTGGATTAAAGGATAAAACGTAAGCTTAAGAGGCAGAAAGAAGTGGGTGTGAATCACTGCTCTCTCATACTAATTATCTCTGTGACATTAAGCAAGTCATTTTCAATTTCATCATCTAGAAAATGGGGATATCATTTTCACCACAGGCTTCCTACAGTAAGAAATAAGTAAGACCAAGCACTCAAAGTGCCTGTTAAAATCCAGTAAGTGCTGAGACTATTATTGTTGATCACTAAAGCCTGTGAGACTAACTTACTAACTAGTTCAATATCCTATGTTAGTACCTTAAACCCAGCCTTTAACAAGGTTTAATTATAAAGTGTTGATACATGCTTTGTCTTCAGGATATTCAAATATGTATAATTTAATTTGAAAATATACCAAGTTTTAAAGCTAATTTTATTAAACTGTTGCAAGTATGCTTTGAGATTGCTGTTGCAATAAAATTACCTTTTTTTACTTGAAAATGAAAAGCATTTTACAAAGAGCACTCTTCAATTCTGTTTGCTTACAGAACACACTTAGCCATTCTAAGGGGACTGCAGACTTACTGGAGGAGGCACACTACAGACAGGGAGGTGCTGTCCACTGAAAACCACAGAGCATCCTGGGACCTGTTGTGTACTGCAAGCAGGGATGTGCTGGCCTGTGCAGAGTGGGATCCCATGTGGTGCCACTGTTGTTACTGTGTAAGAAACAGGGACAGTGCCCTGATGGAGCTATTAGGAAAGAAAAACAGAACCTTAGAACTTCAGCTGTTTGAATAAAAAATCAACTATTAAAAATTAAAATCCGGGCCATTATCGATTCCCCTCTCATCTGCACAGTTTCACAATGTACTTCTCCAACAGTTTCAACCAGAATATTCTTTGTCATTGTATAGGACAGCTCTTTCAAGAACAGTATATGAAACCCACAGAACTGAGGCTCAACTTGACCCTCAAAAAGACCTGAAAAGTCCAGGAGAAAAATAAACTGCTGTATTAATTCTTCCAGTCTGCTTTATATAGAAAACTTTTCTGAAGAAACTTGGAAACATGAAAGCTGTATCTTCTAATACCTAGCCACATCCAAAAGGAAATCTTTTTTTTAATTTAAATCCAACCAGTAAAACAATGTAAAGTAGAATAAAGAAAGTTAAATAATTTCCTTGTCTCTTGGCCAGTCTGATTCCTATCCTACCTGAGGCAAACAATGTTAAAAACATATAATCCTTCAACACCTTTCTCTATGAGCATATGAATATATACAAACAAAATACCCACAAATTGTTGTCATGTTTTGTTTTTCCTTAACATAAATGATATTACCTTGCAAATTACTTTCTTCAGTTAGTATTGTAGATAACTCTTTAAGGGAGTTAAAGTCAATTCATTCTTTTTGATACTAGCCAAGTATTTCAAGTACACTCAACACAGTCCTATGGCTAATATACTAATGGGATATTCAAGTTGTTTTCACTCTTTCACCAATCCAAACACAACTGTAAAAAAATATCATTGAATATATATCTTTACATACTAGTAGTTTCATTTATTTAAGAGGGATTCTGGGTAGAAGGGTGAATTTTATATTTTCCCAAAAGGCTGAGTAAGCCACAATCCTAACAGTAACAATAGGGCCCATTTCCCAGCACCTCCAATCAGAGCAGATGTACTTGTATCACAAGGGTGCTTACCCACCTGAAGAATGAAAAAATTTATGCTCCTAATGAATGAAAAAAAATATGCTCCTAAACTTTCTAATACTTTTATTTTTTACATTTAATTTATACTCCAACTAAAATCTATTTTTGCTTATAGTGTGAAGTAGTGTTCTAATTTTTTTCTTGCAATACTTGTTCCATTTAGTAAGACATCCTCTTCCCCTCTAAACGGAAATAGCATCTTTTTCCACTCAATAACTTCCCACTTATACTTTGTGCCAAATTCGTGCTGCTTTATCTTTTTTTTTTAAGATTTTATTTATTTATTTGACAGAGGGAGACACAGCGAGAAGAACACAAGCGGGCGGTGGGGGGGGCGGTGGGAGGGGCGGTGGGAGAGGGAGAAGCAGGCTTCCTGCCGAGCAGGAAGCCCGATGTGGGGCTCGACCCCGGGACCCTGAGATCATGACCTGAGCCGAAGGCAGACACTTAATGACTGAGCCACCCAGGCTCCCTGCTGCTTTAGTTATCTTACTAGAAATTAGGATCTAGGAAGACAAATTCTTCTTATTACCATACTTTCTTTTCATTTTGTTTGGCCATTTTCACATGCTTATTCTTACGTAAATAAAACTCAAATTTTATCCCCTTTCAAAACCCACTGGTGTCTTGATTTTTATTAATCTAACTATATTAAAGGTTACGTTATTTTACAAAGGACACGTAATTTTATATTAAGGTTTTTCATTGGAATATTATGCCACATGTTCAATACTATAGTACTGTCCTTCAAGAAATTACTTTTCTTCATCAGGATCTTATATTACTCTTACATAATTTATTGCTCAAAGTTCTTTAGTAAGTCTGTAGGTTCTATTATATTGTCAATAGGTTATTTTTCTCTATTTCCATATCAAATTGGTTAGTGCTAGGAATTTTATTTATGTATCTTGAATCTAACAATCTTACCCAACTTGATTCTAGATTTTTAAAAAATCTTTCCTATGTACGTGTACAACTCTATCTGCTAAGATTCAACACAATTATTTATTTTTCTTGTCTTTTTGCTTTAGTGATAAAGAACCTTCAAAAATGATGTTCATAGGGGCGCCTGGGTGGCTCGGTTGGGCGACTGCCTTCGGCTCAGGTCATGATCCTGGAGTCTTGGGATCGAGTCCCGCGTTGGGCTCCCTGCTCGGCGGGGAGTCTGCTTCTCCCTCTGACCCTCTCCGCTCTCATGTGCTCTCTCTCTCTCTCATTCTAATAAATAAAAAAAAAAAATCTTAAAAAAAAAAAACGATGTTCATAGGCACTCATAATCTGATTTTCATGGAAATGTTTACTGAATTTCTTTTTCTGCTCCCGTTCAGTCTTTCACCTGAAATAATACTGCTAATACTTTCTTCCAGGGAGTGGCTTGCTTTTTCACTTTTAAAATACTGTCTTTGGATGAGCAGAAATTTTTTATTTTAATGAAATCTACTATGCTGGTGTTCCAATAAGTGGCTATTTATATATCCTGTTTAAGAAATCTTTGCCAACCTTATGAAAACAGTATCTTTTCCTTTCACATTTAGATCTAGAACCCAACTTTATTTTGTGTATGAATCAAGTAGGAGTCAGGGTTCCAATTTATGTGCATGGATATCCAACTGTCACCATACCATTACTAAAAGATCTTCCTTTCCCTCCTTGAATTCCTTAAAGTACCTTTGCCAAAAATTAAGCAACAAACATATGTTTAAGTCTATTTCTGACAATGAACACAATTCTTTAAGTTTAATTTATCAACAGTTCTCTGTATGGTTAGTGCTTTTCCCATGTCTTACTTAAGAAAGCCTTCCCTATTCTAAGGTCATGAAGCTATTGCTACATTACTTTCTTAAAAGCTTATAGTTTTGCCATTAAGCTTTACATCTTTAATATACCTGGAACTGATTTTTGTGAACGGTATCAGATAAAGGATCCAGTTTCATGTTTTCATTTGGATACCCAATTGTCCCAGCATCAATTATTAAAAATTCTGTCTTCTTCCAACTCATTTGAAGCCATATATCATTAAAGTATTCATAAATGTGTGGGTTTATTTCTGGGCTTTATGTTCTATTTCATTAGCCCATTTAATTATTCTGGCATTAGAATCACCTGTGTTAGAACAAGCTGCTGGGTCCCACACCCAGAGTTTCTGATTCAGTAAGTCTAGTGTATAGTCTGAGAACCTGCATTTCTAACAAATGTATAGGTGATGCAGCTGCTGCTGGCCAGATGATCTAGGACATACTCTGAGAATTACTTGGTCTTACCAACTAGACCACAGTGCCAGTCAGCCAACTATTTCTTAAAGAGCCAGAAAGTATTTTAGGCTTGTGGGCATCTTGATCTCTGCATAAGGCATCCATAGACGATAAATAAACAAACATAGTTGCATTCCAATAAAACTACAGAAACAGCCAGGAGGAGCCTGCTTTCCCCCACTCCAAGATAATTCCAGGTCCTTTATAAAATGCCATAGAAGTGACAGAATCAGCTTTTCAAATTACACCAAAAACTTCCTGGAAATTTACTTGAGATTATGCTATTTCTACATACTCCGAATGTCAGTTTTGACAACGGGCAGTTTTTATAAAAAGGCTTGTAAGTCCAACCTTCAGTATTTAGATAGGTTTTCTTTAAACTGCCTTAACAAAGTTTTATAATCTTCTACATAGAAATCTTGAACTTCTTCGGCGCCTGAGTGGCTCAGTCGTTAAGCATCTGCCTTTGGCTCAGGTCATGATCCCGGGGTCCTGGGATCAAGCCCCGTATCCGGCTCCCTGCTCAGCAGGGAGTCTACTTCTCCCTCTCCCATTCCACCTGTTCCTATTCCCTCTCTCGTGGTCTCTCTGTCAAATAAATAAATAAAATCTTAAAAAAAAAAAAGAAATCTTGAACTTCTTTTATTAAGATTGCTTCATAACTTCCTTCATATTATTTTGATTTTTTCAATGATACTTTTTTATTTGAATATTAAAGAGAATTTCAAACATGCTCAACAGTAGTATAATGAGCCCCCATATGCATCACGTAGCCTCCAAAACCATTAAACCATAGCCAATCCATTTCCATCAACTTCTCCCTTTCCTGTATTTTGTTGAAGTAAATCCCAGGAACCCATCCTTTAATATTTTAGTACGTATTTCTGGAGGACACACTTAACCACAATAGCATTATCAATCTCCCTTAAGAAAAAGATCTTTAAAAATAATACTCTGTTCAAAATTCCAATTGCATCATCAGTATCAAATTTTCAATCAGAATCCAAAAATAGTTTACATACTGCAATTAATTGGAAGATCTCTAAGTTTCAACTGCCATTTGCATCTCCCCTCCTCACCCTCATCACCACATCTTATCAGTTGAAAAAATCTGGGCTGTTTAGTGTAAATATATCTTTTTTTTTTTTTTAAAGATTTTTATTTATTTGACAGAGAGAGACACAGCCAGAGAAGGAACACAAGCAGGGGAAGTGGGGGAGGGAGAAGCAGGCTTCCCGCGGAGCAGGGAGCCCGATGCGGGGCTCGATCCCAGGACCCTGGGATCATGACCTGAGCCGAAGGCAGACGCTTAACGACTGAGCCACCCAGGCGTCCCTAGTGTAAATATATCTTTAAAAAAACTGTTTATTATGTCCAATTCTGGTATAGAAAAATACAACTGATTGTTGATAGGTGTTTTTGTAATTGATCAATCTGTTTAATTCTTAATTCTAATAGCTTATCTAAGATGCTTTGGGCTTTTCTATGCACATGATCATTTCATCTGCAAATACTGATGGTGTTATTTGTGCTTTTCTTATTCTTAAACTCTTTTCCTTGCCTTCTGTCCTGGCTTATCTTCCATAACAATATTGGAAAACAATTCATTTCCATTTCTATGGATTTATCTAATTCTAGACATTTCATATAAATGTGGCCTTCTGTGACTGGCTTTCTTTACTTAGCATGTTTTCAAGGTTAATCCATGTAGTATAGCATGAATTAATACTTTGCTATACTTTTTAGTGAATTATTTCATTGTATGGATATACCATATTGTATCTATTCATCAAGTGATCAATGTAAGTTGCAGATGTCTACATATTTAATCTTCATTTGGGCACCATATCAAATTTTTTTAAACTAGAGTTTCTTGTGTTTTCTTCTACAATTATACAGTGAGGAGAAAAATACAATTATTCCTTACAGTGTTTTATATCTATAACTACATTATCTTATTCCATTTGGTAGAACTTCTAATATAACATTAAATAAAAGTAGACAGAGAAAACATCTCTAGCTGCTGATTCATTTCTGGCCAATTAGGATACTTGCTGTTAATTTTACTTATTATATTTAAGTAATTTCCATTTTGTTCTATCTTATTAAGAGTTTTTATTAAATTTTAACTGACTTCAACATCTTCTGATAAAATTATCATTTTCTATTATTTGTTGATGTAATATGAATATTTTCATATTAAGCTATCCTCTTATTTGGAATAAACCTTATTTATTCATAGGTTATTATTCTTTTTGATACGCTGCTAGACTGTATTTCTAAACATCTATTTAGAAAATCTTCCTTTGTATTTGAGAGACTTTTTCTATTGTTCTTTGCAGATTACTATCTTTATTTACTTTTGATATTAAAATTACATGGGGTTCATAAAATAATTAGAAAATTGGTCTTAAGAAAAGCCTGAAATCACTTGTATATTATTACATGAGAGTTTCTTATAGATTGGAAAAATCATCTGTGAAGCCATCTAATCACTATGCCTCTTCAATGGTAAATCTCTAAGTAGCTTTTACACTTATGTGGTAATTCAAATTTTTCTATCATTGTTGGAACTTCACATTTTCTTCCTGTCCCCCCAGAGTTATACACAGAATTTCATTGTAATAGCTAATTACAAAATAATAGAGTGCTTACCACTTGTACTAGTTTAAGTGCTCAAAATAGATTAACTCTTTAATTCTCCCAACATCCCTTATGAAACAGGTGTTTTCATTTTACAATTGAAGAAAATTCTTTGAATGTTTCCTATGTGTATGGATATGTCTTTTTTTAATCAGTCCTGCTTCCTTTATATATTTGTTCTTTTCACCTTAACCAAGCTCACAAGGTGCTAGTTATTTTTTTTTTTTTTAAGATTTTTTATTTGTTTATTTGACAGAGAGAGAGCAAGAGCAGGAACACAAGCAGGGGGAGTGGGAAAGAGAGAAGCAGGCTTCCCGCCGAGCAGGGAGCCCGATGTGGGGCTCGATCCCAGGACCCTGGGATCATGACCTGAGCCGAAGGTAGATGCTCAACGACTGAGCCACCCAGGCGCCCCGGTGCTAGTTATTCTTATCAATTTTTCAAAGTAACAAGATTGGGTTTTGTGCTTCTTAAAAAAAAAAAAAAAAATAGATTTCTCTATTGTTAATTCTAATTGTGTTTCCTGTATTTATTCTTCTCAATTCCTTTTGGTTTACTCTGTAATTTTTTCCCCTAATTACTCAAGCAATTAGTTCATTTATTGTCCATTTTTAAAATAAATAATGAAGGTATATAAAATTTTCTCAGAAAACAGCTTTAGGCATATCTCACTGACTTTGAGGATTTTTCCTTTAATTTTCCTTAATTATAATCTTGCCTCAAATATTTCAGTGTCATTTTTATTTTTACTTTTTTTTTTTTTTTAAGATTTTATTTATTTATTTGACAGAAAGAGACACTAACTGAATTCAACATCTTCTGATAAAATTATCATTTTCTAT